AGGTGTGGTGGCTTATGTCTGTAATCCCAGCACTTTGGGAGGCCGAGGCAGGCAGATCGTCTGAGGTCCGGAGTTTGAGACTAGCCTGACCAACATGGTGAAACCCTGTCTGTACTAAAAATACATAAATTACCCAGGCGTGGTGGTGGATGCCTGCAATCCCAGCTGCTCAGGAGGCTGAGGCAGGAGCCTCACTTGAACCTGGGAGGCGGAGTTTGCCGACATCTCACCATTGAACTCCAGTCTGGGAGAGAGAATGAGAGTCCATCTCCAAAAAAAAGGTTCCTGGCAGTAGGACCCAGGTTATTTGAGTATGAGAAGGAGTATGAGGAAAAGTGAGTTTTGTTTCTCACCTAGAGTACTGAAATGCTGGAGTAGATTTCAGAGGGTCAGGACTCAGACCTTGTGATTTTTTGGCCATGGCCTTTACTTTTGTTTCTGACAGCTTTATTTTCATTGGGTTGGTTCTGTTTATTGGCAATATAGTAAGAAACATTTGACTTCTCATCTTCAAGAGGAAATCATGACAAATGCAGTATAGATGGCACTTGGTAATGGAACTGGAATCGTGTATGAGGTTCCTGTAGGTGGAATTCTGGTTAGGGGTTGGGGTAGGGAGGAGAGTCTCTTTTTTCATATTTCTGTCCTGACCTTACTTTTTATTTAGCTTCACTGCACCATGTGAATCAGTAATCATCTTTCTGTAGCTAGCAGGGGTTTAGAACTAATGAAAGTATTGTTTAGTTTCTAACCTCATAGCCTGTCATTGTGCCTATATTTTCACAGCCAAATCTTCCTTTTACTGACATTTCCAGTGACTCTGATGCCTTACTTTTGGTATTGTGGCTTATCTTTTGTTATCTTTGTTCTCTGTAATATGGTCATCAACAAATGTTTATTAAGCACCCCTACTACCTATACAGCTTTGATGATATAGGGAGATTTGCTTACCTTATTAGTTTTTGACAGTTGCTTATATTTATACTGGTTTTGACAGTTTACATTTATTAGGCTTTCACACATACTGTCTCATCTAATTGCTGTAACATTTTACCAAGTAAGATCTTTTTTCCTTTCACTCAGCAAATGTATTCTTGTATAATCACTTTCCAGGAAGTTACATTGCAGGTGGGAAGAAGTGACATAAGGAAGAAAACACATAGTAACAGAAGTGACTTGTGTTAAGGTTCATATGGGTTATTTTATACACGGTCACTGTTAATGGAATTGTGGACTGTGAGAGAGGGGCATTTGACAGTTTAGGACTCAACGTGGGACCTGAAGAAATGGTACAAAGAGAGAGGACCTCCAGATGGTAGCCCAGTGTGGCTAAAGCATAGAGGTGCATGTGTGTACCGTGCATTTATTACACATGAAGGTTTTCATTTGAATGGAGCCAGGTTAGTCAGGTCTGAATTTAATTATTGAGTACCTAATGTTGTAGCACTTCAGAATGTTCAGAAGCCATTGGAAATCATCTAGTCCATCTCATATAGGTTATTAAAAGACGTGTTCATATAGAGTAGATTACTGCATTATGTTTTGTGTAGACTTACCTGTTCCCGAAGTATAGAATATATCCTGGTTTATTCTATACACATCTCCTTTGTGAATCAATTCTGACTAGATTTTATAATCTTAAAAGGAAATATATTAAGGAAGTTATATTTATTCTATCGTTTTTGTAACTATACCATGTGACCTTTCAAGGAGGATTTTATTAAAGGTGTAGCGTTTGTGTCAGTCTTCACGCTTTCCTTAACTCGGCAAAACTTAGCAGCATGTTTATATCTCTGTTGCAAATATTGTACAAGATAGATTTTTTTCAAATGAGAAAAAACAGTCCACAATTTTTAATTAAGGGTTGAACATGCCATTGTGTTTTTTGTTATTCCTAAGAAAAAGTATGCTCTGATTAGTTGGTAGAAACAACTGATCCAAATGGTATTTGTCTAGACATTCTGATGCCTCTGGGAAGTCCTGATGATCCAGGGTATGGATTTCTGAAGCTTCACTTGTTTTTATCAGTCAATTTCCAAGATGTCTAGAGACCATTAACATAGATAATAAATCAAGTGAGATTTAGCTATTTGGTAATATGCAAAGAACTATACTCAGAAAGAAAATGTTTAACTTAGAAGAAGGAAACCAAATGTTGTAAGTGTAGATTGCTAGGGTTTTGAGCAAACCCACTCAATAGTAGCCATCTTTCCTGCTGGAGTTTTGAAACTATTGAGAAATAAAGTAGATAGTAAGTGAAATGTCACTTTTATATTGATTTAAGCCAGATTGCAAGATATAACCCAGTTTGAGGATCAAATGGGGCTTGCTAACTGAACATCGTAATTAAGCAGACTTACTCACCCATCTAGAAAAGATGTTGGCCCACATCAGGCCTTCTCTCACTTATCAGGGCCTTCATAGTTTAACGTACACCAGACACCACTTAACTATCTTCAGACATTCTAGTTTCTAGGGTGGAATATGGGGGTTGCTAAGCCATCATGCCCAGCCTTTTCTTCTCAAGTTTTATCAGTTAGAGGCATTATGTCACTTCCCCTGGCGTGGGTAAAAGGTGGAGAGAGGACACAGATGACAGTTGAATTTCATTCTAGTGACAAGAAATATAAGTGGGGGGAAAGCATTTCTTCCAGCATCCAAAGTGATACATCTTTTCACATTCAAAACTCTTTGAAATGAGGATGTGTCTGAAATCAGTGGTATCTTAATAGCGGCCTACTGGAAACCAGTCATGGTGAATTGTCACTGCTGCAGTGTGTGTGAGCTTGGGTTGCTCCTCACACCATGAGCCTTCAGTGTTTCAGTTAATGAACTAAGTCAGGATCATTAGAGGAAAGAGTGTCAGTCCTGGTAGGGCTAAGAAAGCCTGTTTAAACCTCCAGACTGCATCAAGAAAGCATCAGCTTCAAACTTTGCAGGGCGAGTATCAGCAGCCTGGAATAAATTTTTACGAGCTACCCATCTGACAAAGGGCTAATATCCAGAATCAACAAAGAACTAAAACAATTATTCATGAAAAAAACAACCCCATCAAAAAGTGAATGAAGGATATGAACAGACACTTCTCAAAAGAAGACATTTATGTGGCCAAGAAACATATGAAAAAAAGCTCATCATCACTGGGCATTAGAGAAATGCAAATCAAAACCGCATTGAGATACCATGTCACCCCAGTTAGAATGACGATTATTAAAAAATCTGGAGACGACAGATGCTGGAGAGGATGTGGAGAAATAGGAACGCTTTTACAGTGTTGGTGGGAGTGTAAATTAGTTCAACCATTGTGGAAGACAGTGTGGTGATTCCTCAAGGATACAGAACCAGAAATACCATTTGACCCAGAAATCCCACTACTGGGTATATACCCAAAGGATTGTAAATTGTTCTGTTATAAAGACACATGCATACATATGTTCATTGCAGCACTATTTACGATAGCAAAGACTTGGAACCAACCCAAATGCCCATCAATGATAGACTGGATAAAGAAAATGTGGCACATATACACCATGGAATACTATGCAACCATAAGAAAGGTTGTTCTTGCCTTTTGCAGGGACATGGATGAAGCTGGAAACCATCATTCTCAGCAAACTGACACAAGAGCTGAAAATTAAACATTGCATGTTCTTACTCATAAGTGGGTGTTGAACAATGAGAACACATGGACGTAGGGAGGGGAACATCACACACTGGGGTCTGTTGCGTGGGTAGAGAGATTAGGGAGGGATAACATTAGGAGAAATACCTAACATAGGGGGGAAGGAGGCAGCAAACCACCATGGCATGTGTAGACCTATGTAACAATCCTGCAAGATCTGCACATATATCCCAGAACTTAAAATAAAATTTAAAATAAATACAGGATGCAACATGGAGCACTCCTTTATGAAACATGTGCTCTTGGTGACACTGGATGACAACATTTATAAAGCAAGGACATTGAAAACTCTGAGAGTGATTCAGAAGAGCTAGACTTCAAATATTATTTAGTTTTAAGAATAACAAACTTATTTTTCTTGCATTTCCTTATTGAATGTGCCTGAAAGGTTTATGGTAACCATTTGTTTTTTTGGTTGGTTGTTTGTTTTCCTTTTTTATTATACTTTAAGTTCTGGGGCACATGTGCAGATTGTGCAGGATTGTTACATAGGTATATACATGCCGTGGCGGTTTGTTGCATCCATCCCCCCGTCATCTACGTTATGTATTTCTCCTAATGTTATCCCTCCCCAATGTGCAGCAACTTTGAATGGCAGGCACTTCATCCTTTCTCCGAAAGCTTCATGTGACATACTGTCCAAGATGGACACTGGTCATTATAGATCAAAATTTTCACCTTAACGGAATTGTAGCCTGGCACTGTTGCTTTAAATGTAGCATTTATTCTTACTGTGTGTCTGTGTTCTTACTCCAGAGTGAAAATGCTGTTGTGGTTTTTTGTTTGTTGTTTTGTTTTGTTTTTTTTTGAGACGGAGTCTCGCTCTGTCACCCAGGCTGGAGTTGTAGTGGCACAGCACAATCTTGGCTCACTGCAACCTCCGCCTCCCAGGTTCAAGCCAGTCTCCTTCCTCAACCTCCCGAGTAGCTGGGATTATGGGTGTGTGCCACCACACCTGGCTAATTTTTTTTTTTTTTTTTTAAGTAGAGACAAGGTTTCACCATATTGGCCAGGCTGATCTTGAACCCCTGGCCTCAATTGCTCCACCCTCCTCAGCCTCCCAAGTGGTGGGACCTCCCAAAGTGGTGGGAAGGCGTGAGCCACCGTGCCCAGCCAGAGTGAAAATTCTAATCTATTGTTTATTCAAGTGAAGGAGACTGGATGAAATAATGCAAAATAATTTTGTACATATAGAAGGTAACTATTTGCAAAGATGGTCCTACTTATGATAGTACAGGACTCATCTAGATATGCTTGGTTTCTTTATTTATAAAAGTTTCAGTGAGCTAAATCTTTTTTTTTTTCTTTCTTCCAAAAGGAGGTCCTGATGACAACTTAATTGAAGGCGGAGGAACAAAATTTGTCTGCAAACCCGGAGCCAGAAACATTACCGTCATATTCCATCCATTACTAAGGTACGTCAAGTGCTATGATGTACTTACTGAAGATCAATATTTTCATGATTTATGCAGCTCTACTGAATGCCAGTTGTTGAGTCAGCATTGAAACAAGTCATGAAAGAAATTCGTTCCATTTTTAGGGCTTCACTATCAAAGCTAGTCAGTATAACAGATAATGTCAATACCACTGAGTCGCCACTTATTTTCAGGAGTAAATACTTTTATTTGATTTCTTTCTTTCACACTCCCTACCTCTGTCCCTCCCCCTCCCTCCCCTTATCTATCTGAGGAGTTGGCAAACTACGGCTTATGGAGAAATCTAGCCTGAACATGTATTTGTAAATACATTTTTATTGACGCACAGACACGCTCATTTGTTTATGTATTGCCCATAGCTGCTTTTGTGCTACAAGCACACACTTTTAATTGCAACAGCACTCATATGGCCCATAGAGCCTAAAATACGTATTCTCTGGCCCTTTACAGGAAAAAATTGCCAACCCATAATTTGTCCCTCTCATTTACGCCAATGACTGAGATATCCTTTGAGAATTGGCAGGTCTCTGAACAAATATGATTTATAAAAAATCAAAGACATATACATCGAGTGTATGTTTCTGTATATTGAAAGATAACGTGATGGTGACTAGAGTGAAATCTGCTGTAATGCTCAGCTTATTGTGATACCATGATTATAGGAAAGGAAGAATCCGTGGTGCTTCCATTAAAGAAAAAATTTAAACCCTAAATACTTTTTCAAAGGTGCTTTTTGAGAGTGGAAGAAAGGGACAATTGCTGAGTAGATAAAAGATTTCCATTTTGTGATTGAAAAGTTCTAGAGATCTGTTACATAACCAGGTGCACATAGTTGATGCTGTATGGTACATTTAAAACGAGTTGATGATAAATTTAATGTTATGTATTTTTTACCATAATTTTTAAAATACACCTTTTGGGTTCCAGATATCTAATATAATATTAATTGCATGTTTTCTCTGTAAAGAACCAGTATATATTTTGCGGCATTTTCATGTAATAGGCCAGAAACTCCTGAGTTTACTAAAAGTTAAGTACTTCAGAATATCACCTTACTTTTCTCAGGTCACTCTTATAAGATTTCAGGCATTTGGAATAACAGTTAAACAACTGCTGTTGAATTTGCCAGAGATAATATTATGTATATTTTCTCCAAGCATAAACAGCTTACAATTTTCCTACCTTCTCATTAACTGAGACTTATTAAATTTATGCTATTAGACCTAATTACATTCTAATCTCTTGTATAGGTAAACAGTGTTTTGAATTCTACTGGATTACTTTCCTCTATTGATTTTAAATGCAAAAACACAAATATGTAAATTAAATAACAAAAACTTGACTTTCACACAATAAAAAAATTTTAAAGAAATTTTATTGACTTTAAGAAGCCTATTTTGGCAGATTTGTAGCAAGTAAATTCATTTAGGAGCCATGGGATTAAGAAAATTAAGACTACTAAGAGATTAAGAAAATTAAAACTTTTCTCTGTAGGTTTAGTTGGTAAGTACTATGTATCTATAATAAGTAAATTATAACATACAGACTTTATAGATTAAATAACATTGATTATATATATCAATTGACTTGGGTAATTAGTTTTCACTGTTTTCTTCAATTATAATTGATTTCTACTTAGTTAATGTTGCTAATTGTTAGAAATTGGAAAATACCTTAATCACGATAGACATCCTCTAACCTAGATTTAGTGCTGGAAGTTACTGCTAAGTTGCACTGTAGTTTGGATAAATGGAATTCTTGTGCTTACATTTCTTCCCAAGTAGAGAAGAAACCACAGTGTTGTCAGTAACCACTTTTCAAGAGATTTTTCCTTTTTTTTTTCTTTTTTAATATGAATTTAGAAGAACAATATGTGTATACACACACACACACACACACACGTTAGTACTTACTTTAGACTTAATAAAATGCATTTTTTTCTAGAAGACTGGTAGAACTGAATGTATTACAGTTCTTGACAGTTTTTTGTTAGTGCTTTTAGTACTACTTTGCTAGATAGTTGTTTCAAGGCGTGGTAGTACTCCCAGTGGTTTTACTCACTTACTTGGTTTCTACTTTCATTCAGAATTTTAACTTATTATTGATTAAAACTGGAAAAAGTTTGTTGCCTGATATAGTTTATCATTCATTCTTTCTCTGTGTATCTCTTAATGGAAATTCCAAAAATATTATGTGGTCTACAAGGTAAGTTCATTCTTTGATGAGCAGATGGACCATGGTAGAGTTGAAATTCACCCTTAGACCAAATTGCAACCTTGTCAAAAACTCCTGATTGGCTTGTGGAACTTCAAATGACTAAGATCTTTTAATGGTTTTTTACTTTTTTCATTTGAGTTTTACACTTGAGCATTTGCTTAGTGTTGGCTTTATTATTTCTTCTAAGTTTAGAAGTTTAGTTTTTGTAATTTTAGTTATTGTAACTTCTAAGTTTAGAATTTTAGTTTTTGTAATTAGAAGAACCAGTGTGCTTTATCATACTAGCTTGCTTTATTAGTACTATAATGTTTTCTTTTATATTCAATGAATTTTTATTGAATACTTAGGATGCACATTTTCCTATTTCCAAGTTAGATGTGGTCTCTTTTTCAGATGTACTCTTATTTTTATGAAATTATATAAATAAAATGTAGATATCTTTTCTATCCTTTAGAATGGTCACTGCTTTTATTCTATGCTAGTTTAAGTGAGTATTAGTTAGCATTCTGTTGTTTGAAAGATAGTGTAGTACAATGGGAGACACAGTGTAGAAGAATGAAAGATGGAAAAAATGAACAGGATTGCAAATTTCAAATGAAAAACATGACAATGATCTTGGTTCAGGTCTAGGCTCCTTCACTTCAGTTTTACTCACTGCTTGTTAATAGACTCTGATTATGCCACGTCCTGGGGAAACAAAATAAGAGCATATCCTTGAAAGCTCCTCTCTTGGCAACTGCATGGATTCAAAAAATGAAGAAGCCTGAAATCACCACATATTGGTGAGGACATGGATCAGTGGGATCTCTTCCACCTCGTGGGAGGATGTAAATTGGTTCAGCCTCTCTCAAAATTGGTTTGACATTATTGAGAAATCACATTTCCTGTTACCCAGCAATTCCCTCTCCTAATGCTCTTGAATGTGTTTCTATTTGTTATCAACTGACTCATTATTTTTCCATCCCAATTTGCTAAATCTCTTTCTAATTGATTACAGTAATTATTCTTTATTTATAACTTAGCTCATATTAAAAAATAAGTTCAGCCAGGCATGGTGGCTCATACCTGTAATTCCAGCATTTGGGGAGGCTAAGGCAGATGCATCATCTGAGTTCAGGAGTTCAAGACCAGCCTGGCCAACATGATGAAACCCCGACTCTACTAAAAATACAAAAATTAGCTGGGTGTGGTGGTGCATGCCTGTAATCCCAGCTACCCGGGAGCCTGAGGCAGGAGAAACGCTTCAACCCAAGAGGCAGAGATTGCAGTGAGCTGAGATCACGCCATTGTGCTCTAGCCCAAGCAAGAAGAACAAAATTCTATGTCAAAAATAAAATAAAAAAGTTCAAGAGGAACTTATCACAAGTTGACTTTTATCAAATTCAAGACCTATTTAAACATTATGTATATATTTTCTTACTTGATCTCTTGGCAAGCTAAGGTTTTTTTTTTCAGTGGAGAGAGAAACCCTTTCAAGTGTGTGAGTTCTTCACTTTGCTACTTTTTCCCTGTGTCTTGTGTCACTGGTACCCTGTCTTCCTCAAACTTTTCATGTGACTCTTCTACACACTTCATTTATTAAAATCATTCCTTTCATAATTTTCATTCAATTAGCAGTGTGTTCTTTGCAGCCTTGAGGGTTTCTATATTGACAACTTCAACCACCCTTCTAAGAATGCCACAGAGCGGATTCCCATTACACTGGTTTATATATTCCCAGCAGTCATTCGTACTGTCCTCTCATAAAATTATTGCATCGGGTCCTCAATTCTGGTAATCTTGCTAACTTATTTTTATACTGTTCTCATAGTTACTGTAGTTCCATCACTAGGAAATCTCACAGGATGTTAGAGCAAATACACTGACTTCTAATTTGTTCACTCCCCATTAACTCTGCTTGTCCCTTTACTTGTTTATTTAATGCTTTTCCTTATTGTTTTCTCTTTACAGTCAAGCATGTCTCCTAGAGAGTAAATTTCTAAAAAGAAACAGGGTATAGTATTATCTTACTTGCTTTACTCTTAGCCTACCAAGACATTGTCTGTAATTAAACCTTTAATGAATGTTTTTAATAATAGTTTTTTTTTTTTTTTTTTGAGATAGAGTTTCACTGTGTTGCCCGTGCTGGAGTGCAATGGGGCGATCTTGGCTCCCTGCAACCTCTGCCTTCTGGGTTCAGGCGATTTGCCCGCCTCAGCCTCCGAATAGCTGGGATTCCAGGCAGTCACCACCACACCCAACTAATATGTTAAGAGATGGGGTTTTGCCATGTTGGCCAGGCTGGTCTCAAACTCCTGACCTCAGATGATCTGCTCACCTTGGCCTCCCAAAGTGCTGAGATTACAGGTGTGGGCCACAGCGCCAGGTCAGTAATAGGTCATCTAATCAGTGTTTCTACCTGTGGGTCTTAATGAACAAAACCATATTAAAACAAAGGTTTCTACGCATACCCAGGTAGATTCCAAAATACTTTCCCCAAAATTTAGACTCTGAAAATGATATAACTGATGCCTTTTTTTTCTCCCATTGACATGTTTGCTCTCTTTCAGTTTTCTCTGGAAGGCTTTAAGACGAATGAATTCATTCTGCTAAATGAAATTTATGTTATGGGCCTTGATTTTGGGGAACAGAAGGAAGATATGTTAATGTTGGAATTTGAGTGACATTTCCCTTCTTTTGTGTGGTTCTGACATGCATTTAGGTTTCTTTCCAAAAATAATTATTTTTGAATAATTATATGATGGTAATTATTAACAATGATC